ACTAACCAGCATAAATGAATAATCAGATAAGGGACATTTTGCTATGTCTGCTAGGTGGCTAAAGTCTGATCCTCAGAGCCTATGGTTTGGACAGTTAGCAACACTTGGGCCCACAGGGACTTGAACTCCTGACCGGGTCTGCAACAGATTCCCCCTTATTTATTATTTGTTTAGGCAGTCAGTGCGAATTCCTCAGTCTTACCTGTCATCGAAACTCATTGCAGCATGGCAATGGCTCTGTCTTAGGCTGCCGAGGAGAACAACATTTTGATGGGCAAAAATCATAGCATAGAGCTTTGGACCTCAGAAAAACTCAGCTACAGCATAGTTATGTCTTTCCAGTCACTTTCTCTAACTCTGTCTAATCTACACACTCTTCACTTTCAGACAAACCTCATGCAAAGATGCCACTTCTCAGTGGTAAATCTTTGTTTACTCTTATCTGCCAGATGGTGATTTGGCCAGAATTAAGAGGCAGAAGGAGGATTAAAATATATATGTATTAGAAGTATCCAAGACAACACTACATGAACAAATAAATAAATAATTGAAAACTATACATAAAGAAAATAGAAAACCAGAATATTAACACTAAGACTTCTGAATAGAGGTTCATCTAGGCCTTTCAATATATTGAAAGGGCACAGAAGAAGTGAATCAATGGAAGGCCAAATTAGTAAACTTAAAGACATACCTCTCAATATTCATCTGCTGAGGAACTATCACTAAAAAATAACAAAAAGAAGCCTAAGATTTATGTGGGACACCATCAAGAAGAGTAATTTAAGTATGATTGGAATTCCAGAGTAAGAAGAGATGGGTGGGGTGGGGGGAACAACAGAGAAAAGCATCAAACAGTTGTTTCAAGAAAACTTGTCTAACATCATGAAAGATGAAAACATATACATTCAAGAATCTGAATGAAGCCCAAGAGAACAGACCACGTATGGGATGACACATGTAAAACTCTTAAAGAAAAAAATTGCCATAGAAGAATCATACACCTAGCAAAATTGTCCCTCAATTATGTTGGCAAAATTAGAACATTTTAAGATAAACAGAAATTAAGAGAATTTGTAAAATCTACACCAAGCTTATAAAAAATTCTAAAGTGAGTTCTTTTGACAAAGAACCAACCAACATCAAGATAACAACCTGAGATTAACATACATGGTAGTATCACCTAGAACTCAACACAGATATACATATTTAAAGCAAAAACCAAACCTACAAGACTGAAAATACCAGTTTACAACAAAAATATTCCACCAAGTAATAAGTGGGAATAATATAGTCACATTGTAGTCACAAAGCTTCCAACTGAAAAGGAATTCAAATAGATTTCAAGAAAAAAAAATAATAAAAAGTTAGTCTAACTGTAACCTTAAAAATCAAGTCTTATTTCTATAACCATTAGCCCCAAATCCCCCTAACCCTACACTAACCCTAATCCTAACCACAACCTAACACACACACACACACACACACAAAATCTCAAAAGTAGCCTAACATGCTGATGACCGAGGGGCAGGCTTGCAGGGTGTACCCTTTGGTTGTCTGATGATGCATGGCGGGGATTGTAATCATGGCAATGAAACGATATACAATAGGATCGATGTAAAGCTGATGTTCTCCCACGTAAACTATCACATAATACACAATAATAATAATAATAAAAAGTAGCCTAACAATAGAAATACAAAATTTATATACTAAAAACTACAAAGCATTGCTAACGAAAACTGAAGAATGGAAACACATTCTATATTTACGGACTGGAAGAATCAATATTTGTAACATGGCAATTCTCCCCAAATTGATCTGCGAATTCAATATAATCCCCATCAAAAATCAGCAGGCCATTTTTCTTTGTAGAAACTGACAAGCTGATCCTCAAATGTGTAAGGAACTGTAGAAAAATCAGAATAACAAAATAAAATTTGAAAAAAGAACAGTTTAAAGGCTTATTGACTCTGAAAGCAAATTTGGCATTGCTAATGCACAAGGTCAGCAATTCGAAACTACCAGCTGTTCCGCGGGAGAAAGAAGAGGCATTCTGCTCCCGTAAAGATTTAAAGCCTCGGAAACCCTGTACCGGGTCGCTATGAGTCAGAACTGACTCCACAGCACATAACAACAACAATGCATAGGGGTGGGAGTAAGAACTGATTGCAAAAACAGGCATGAGGATCTTTTGACAATGATGAAAATGTTCTAAGCTTGGATTGTGATAATGGCACAACTCTAAAAAGATACTAAAAATCATTAAATCGTACATTTAAAATGGGTAAACTTTATGGTATGTAAGTTATACCTCAATAAAGGTAACAAAGCATTTTTAAGCAAATGTTCATAGCAGTTTTATTAATAATATTCCAAAGTGGGAATATCTCAGATGTTTGTCAATAAGAAATGGTGAAAGCAGGGGAAAACGGTGGAAGGGAGAAGAAAAGAAAACTTCTAAGGAATAGAAGGCAAGAGTTAATCTAGTAATAACTAGGTAAGATATGATAATGAGACCAATTAGGAGACTATTGCAGAATTCCAAATGAAGGTTCTGAGGACCTAAATTAAATAGGAATGAAGGATAAATATGAAAGGGACTAAAAGTAAATAGCAAAAAAACTACATATGTTTTAATGAGCACAATACACATGCCACTTCATTTTAACAACTTTATATGATGTGCACTATTGTCCTCTTATAGAGAGGGGCACTGAGGATACAGAATTTAATGTAAATTTATCTAAGGTTAGAGTCCTGGTGTGGTATGTGGTATGACACTGTAGGTTAATGCGCTGGACTGAAAAGTCTGTTTGAACCACAAGGTCGGCGGTTCAACCTAACCAGCTGCTCCTCGGAAATGCCATACAGTGTCACTATGGGTTAGAACCAACTTGACAGCACTTAATAACAGCAACAATAGACCCAGAAAATGTAACAAGCTAGTATATATACAAGAGTCCTGGTGTGGCACTGCAGGATAATGCACTGGCCATCAGTACAAACCCATCAGCTGCTCCTTGGAAACCCTACACAGGGTTGCTTTGAGTTGAAAGTGACTCAGTGGCACTTAACAACAACAGTATGTATACATGTATGTGTGTTTTACAACCAGGAGTCAGAGGCTAAGGGAAGAAATACAAAATAACTATGGGTCTTGATTTTCTTTTTTTCTCTCCCAAGGATTTTTACATAGTTTTATGATCTTAGTGATTGTGAAAGGAAAGAAAAAAAATAATCTTATATACAGAAGCACAATTTATTTCTAAAGCATTTGATTAGAATATGTATGGAACCCATACTGCTTTGAATTTTTGAGTTGTTATTGTTAACTGCCCTCCAGTAGGTTCAGACTTACAGGGAACCCTAATAGGGCTTCTGAGGTTTCTTAGCAGGAGCATAAAGTCTCATCTTTCTCTCGCAGAGAGGCTGATGGCTCGAACTGCTGATCTTGTGTTTCACAGTCCAGTGCTAATCCTATGGAGCCAATAACTACTGAACATATTAATTTGAGAGCGGTTACGAATCGGGCTGCTAACCTAAAAGTTGGCAGTTCGAAACTACCAGCTATTCCGCAAGAGAAAGATGAGGCTTTCTGCTCCCATAAAGATTACAGCCTCGGAAACCCTGTACAGGGTCACTATGAGTTGGAACCGACTCCACAGTACTTAACAACAACCCCCACCCCACCTCGCAGTTGCAAAAGAATCAATTTATCTTAAGTATAATCATATATACCTTTTTTCCACATGGTTTCTCTACCATATTGCTGTCACTGTCAGAATTTTCACTCTGAACTGGTTTTGTGAACCCAGATTTGGGCATCTTACAGCTGCTCAGCTAGCTTCTTTTATCAATCTTCTCATCCTGGATCTGTAAAATATGGATATACAAGGGTTATTTGTACATTTATAAGAGAACCCATTGAAAGTTTATGCACTGCAAGCACTGCAATTAGTCAAATTTTGTTTTCTTTGTTTCTTTAAGAACGGATTTTCTCAGAGAGGATATCGAAACTTAAAATAAGTTTTCATTTAACAATTTGAGTTTGCAATTAAACTTCTCTTGTTCAAATATACTCAGCCTATTGCTGGAAAAAAGAAAGGAGACTACTTTTATACTTCTTCCCATCTTCCCTAGATTAGTACAGGTAGTACCCAAAGCTGAATTTATACAGTAAGTCTGATCAGTTAGACACAGTTCATACTTATTGTCAGTGAGACAAATGTTTGTCTTAGTATATACTATAGCTTTCTATGAATAAAAAACATTAAAGAAGAAGTTAAGAGATACACTAGAATTTTTAAGATATAGTAGTAACAACAGTATTCTACCCACCCACCCACCCCTCTGGAGAGGGTAGAAGAAAGGAATTAGGACTATGGTTAGGTCTAGACTCTGTATGATGTGTTAAGTTTATGGTTAGGACTAGGGTTGGTTTAAGGGTTAGAGGTAAAAGTTGGGTTAGGGTTAGCAGAGGTAGGGTTTAGACTAGTTTCAGGGTTACCACCCAACCTAAAACCTACTGCATAAATTGTTCTATTGGTGCTTTAAATTTATCTGCTTTTGATAAAAATAAAAATCCCTTACATACTATTAATTTTTATAATATCAAAATAATATTCAAATTAATCATAATACAGCAAAATTGAAGTACATTACAGAACTTCCTAGGTGGCATAGTTTGTGATCAACACCTAATCTTTTGGTTTGTTGGGTTTGGATTGGTAGTTCAAACCTACCCAGGCGCACTAAAGAAGAAAGGCCTGATGATCTGTTTCTGCAAAGATTATAACTAAGAAAACTGTATGGAGCTCAGTTCTACTCTGTAACACATAAACTGTAATTGATTTGATGACAACAGGTTGTTTTTTATTGTTTGTTTTTAAATGTTTTATTGTGAATTGTGTGATAGTTTACATGGGAGAATATTAAGTTTTACATTCATTCTATCGTATATCATCTCATTGCCATGGTTACAATCCCCTCCACGCAATCCTTCCCCCGTATACCCCAGGTCTTCAGCACACAGTCACTCTCCCTCTCTGGATCTAAAGTCTCCAGCTGCTCCATCGCCCCACGTCATCATCTCTGGCTCCATTTCAGGCATCACTGCTTCTTTGGGTAGGGTCCCGCTCTCTGCTCTTCTCCCTTGATGGTCCTAGGGGCCTCCGCTCCTAGACTGAAAAGTTAATCACTCCCCTCCTTGCTATAAAACATCTACCTTTACATTTTTGACCCTCACAAAAAGTCCTGATAATAATTATTCACTATTGTATCAAAAGAGACCCGTCTGCATTTCATTGTATCAGCTCCGCCTAGTCAGATTGAATACTACTCACTGGAGATTCTACCTTCCTCCACAACAGGTTGGTTTTTGCTGGAGTACATTGTTGTTGTTGTTGTTAAGTGCCATGGAGTCGGTTCTGACTCATAGTGACCCTGTACAGGGTTTCCGAGGCTGTAAATCTTTACGGGAGCAGAAAGCCTCATCTTTCTCCCGCAGAACAGCTGGTAGTTTCTAACTGCTGACCTGGCGGTTCGCAGCCTGATTCATAACCACTACACTATCAGAGCTCCTTTTGGAGTACATTGTTGTTGTTAAGTGCCGTCGAGTTAATTCTGACCCATAGCGACCCTGTATAGGGTTTCCAAGAAGCAGCTGGTGAGCTTGAACCACTGACTTTGCAGTTCAAACAACTCTGCAGTCTGACGCATTAGCACACAGCGCCACACCAGGACTCCTTTGGAGTACATTGTTGTTGTTGTTGTTAAGTGCCTTTGAGTCGGTTCCGACCCATAGCGACCCTGTACAGGGTTTCCGAGGGTGTAAATCCTTACTGGAGTAGAAAGCCTCATCTTAATTTCCAGAGTTCAAATAGTTCGCATTATTTTATATGGGAAGAAATAAACTTTAAAAAAAAAATAGAAGAACTCTCTTGATACCACACACTACAGGTAAAGCTTACCTTGGGGTAAATTCAGATTTCAACTATTACCACATTAATAGAATCTTTTAAATATAGCACTGTCCTCAAAGCTAGACTTGAGTGAAGCTTACCATTAAAGTATGAGTTATAATTAAAATACAAAGAAAATTCTAACTCAAGTGCAGAAAAGTCATCTGACAAATTCAACATCCATTAGTGATAAAAACAACTTTCAGTAAACAAGAAATAGAAGGAAATTTCCTCAATCTAGTGAACATAAGAATCTCTTCTGTTTTACTAAAGGAAATATAGCCAGCAATGGCTTGAACCTCTGAAAGTTCTCTGTCAATGTATGCTTGCAGTCATTTCTGTGTGACTTTTAGTAAAACTTTACTTGCATAGGATATCAAAAAGATTGTCGAATATTCCACTGGGTCACCTCTCTTTGGAAGGGGCACAAATATGGATCTCTTCCAATGAGTTGGCCAGATAGTTGCCTCCCAAATTTCTTGGCAGAGATGAATAAGTGTTTCCAGTGCCACCTCAATTTCTTGAAAGATTTCCATTTTTATTCCATCAATTCCTGGTGCCTTGTTCTTTGCCAATTCCTTCAATGCACCTTGGAGTTCTTCCTTCAGTATCACTGGCTCTTGAGCATATGCTACCTCTTGAAATGGGTGAACATCAACCATTTCCATTTGGTAGTGTGACTCTGTGTATTCCTTCCATCTTCTGTTAATGCTTTCTTCATCATTCAATAATTCTCCCAGCTTGAGAAATGCTGAGCGTGTTCTCCCCTTTTGGTTTTCTGACTCCAGATCTTTAGACACATCGGTTTAATATCTGACTTTGTCTTCTCAACCTGACCTTTGAAATTTTCTGTTCATCTCTTGTACCTCATTTCTTCCCATTTGCTTTAGCATCTCTACGCTGGAGAGCAAGTTTCAGTGTCTCTTCTGACATCCATTTTGACCTTTTCCTTCTTTCTTGTCTTCTCAATGACTTTTGCTTTCTTCATGTATGATCTTGATGTCATCCCACAACTCTTCGTTTAATGTATCAAATCTGTTCTTCAGATGGTCTCTAAATTCAGGTGGGATAAATTCAAGGTCATATTTTAGCTCTTGTGGACTTGTTTTCATTTTCGTCAGCTTCAGTTTGAATTTGCTTTCATTTTCGTCAGCTTCAGTTTGAATTTGCATATGAGCAATTGATGGTCTGTTCCACAATCTGCCCCTAGCCTTGTTTTGACTGATGTTATCGAGCTTTTCCATTGTCTTTTTCTGCAGATGTAGTCAATTTGATTTCTGTGTATTCCATCAGGTGAGGTCCACGTGTATAGTTTTCTCTTATGCTGTCTAAATAAGGTATGTGAAATGACAAATCATTGGTTTTGCAGAATTCTATCATGCATTCTCCAGCATCATTTCTATCACCAAGGCCATAATTTGCAACTACTGATCCTTCCTCTTTGTTCCCAACCTTTGCATTCCAATCACCAGTAATGATCAATACATCTTGATTGCACGTTTGATCAATTCTTCTATTTCATCCTCACTGGCTTCAGTGGTTGGTGCGTAAATTTGTATAATAGTGGTATTATTACTGGTCTTCCCTTTAGGCACATGGATATTAGCGTATCACACACAGTGTTGTACCTCATGACTGATCTGGGTATGTTCTTTTTGACAGTGAATGCAACACCATTCCTCTTTTGTCATTCCCAGAATAATAAACCATGTGGTTGCCAGATTCAAAATGGCCAATGCCAGTCTATTTCACCTCAATAATGCCGAAGATATTGGTATTTATGTGTTCCATTTCATTTTTGACAATTCCCAATTTTCCTAGATTCATACTTTGTACATTCCATGTTCTGATTATTAATGGATATTTACAGCTGTTTCTCTTCACTTTTGAGTTGTGTCCCATCAGCAAATGAAGGTTCCACGGGCTTTACTCCCATGGGCTTTACTCCATTCACATCATCACGGTCAACTCTAATTTGAGGAGGCAGCTCTTTCCCAGTTGCATTTTGAGTGCCTTCCAACCTGAGGGGCTCATTTTCCAGCACTATATCTGACAGTGCCATGGGCTGTCAAAAGGACCAACAGATTTGTGTTGGAAGAAGTACAACTATAGTGCTCCTTGGAGGCCAGGACTGTCTAAACTTCGTCTCTCGTCTCTCAGACATATTGTCAGGAGGAACCAGTCACTGGAGAAGGATATCATGTTTGTTAAGGTGGAGGGTCAGAGAAAAAGAGGAAGACCCCCAGCGAGATGGATTGGCAGAGTGGCAGCATCAATGGGCTCAAGCGTGGCAACAATTGTGAGGATGGCCCAGGATTTGGCAGTGTTTCGTTCTGTTGTGCATAGGGTCGCTATGAGTTGCTACCAATTCGATGGCACCTAACAACAACAACAATATCTGACAGTGTCTTCCTGCTATTCATAAGATTTTCAGTGACTAAATATTCAGTAGTTCATCACTCCTTCTTCCTAGTCTGTCTTTGTCTGGAAGTTCATCTGAAATTTGTCCACAATGGGTGGTCGACCCTGCTGGTATTTAAAATACCCATGTCATAACTTCCAGAATCACAGCAACTCACAAGCCACCACAGTATGACAAACTGACAGACGAGTGGTGGTTTTAATTGGTTACTATACTTTTTTGAATTGCAATCTGAGATAATCATACTGAACCATGGTGTACAGGTTTCAGACACATTTCCAGATGAAGACAAACTAGGAAGAAGGAGAGATGGAATATTTATTAGTCACTGGAAACCTTATGAATAGCCGTGGAACACTATCAAATAGCACCAAAATACAGACTACTGAAACATGAATAAGAGCACCAAAATATTGTCAGTTATAGTGCTGAAAGATGAGTCCCTCAAGCTGGAAGGCACTCAAAATATGACTGGAGAAGAGCTGCCTCTT